AACTCGGGGACGCGGCACGCGGGGACCGGGAGGATGGGGGGCACGGGGGACACGCGCAGGTGACGGGGACACAAAGGATGGGGGACACAGGGGACGTGGGACATGAAACACACGGCCAGGAAGGATGTGGGACGCGAAGGACGCGGGTCGTGGGGACACAGAAAATTAGGAACGGGGGGTGTGCGCAGGATAAAGTACATGGGTGGGAAAGATGGGGGGCAAGGAGGGGACACAGAGGTCGCAAGGGGGATGCAGGTCACAGGGACACAAAGGGTGGCGGATATGGCAGACACGTGGGACACAAGGACAGGAAGGATGCGGGACACAAAGGACGTGAGGGGGACACAGAGGTCACAAAGGATGGGAAACGTGGGGTATATGTGGGACACAGAGACAGGGACACAACGGATGGGGGGACACAGAGGACAGGGGGCTTGAAGGTCGCAGGATGTGAACCCAGACACAAAGGACAGGGGATGCAGAGGACACGAGGGAGTGGGGGACATCAACAGTGGGGACAAAAAGGATGAGGGATACAAAGGGCCTGGGGACGTGTGGCAGTGAGGACAAGCTGCTGGGGGCGACACGGGGAACCCACTTCCCTGGGCAGTTGTCAGGAAGGTGAAAAAGGCCTTTTTTTCAGCTTAAAGATGTTTTTTAGAATTTAATAACAAAAAAGCAATTCCTGTGGAGGGGCCAGGAGCACAGGTGCTTGCTCCCACTTCCAAATTGTGACCGAGCCCACAGTTCCCTCAGTTGCAGGAAAGCAAGCAATACACGTTAACAAATAAAACCACAGAGCAAGTGGCTGCCCCGAAAAGGGACTTTTCCAGAAGGCTTCTTGTCTGCAGCATCTGGGCTCCTTGTCCAGGCTCACCAATATTGGCTGGTGGGTTTTCCTGGGTTTCACAGAATCACAGAATCACAGACCGTTAGGGATTGGAAGGGACCTCAAAAGCTCATCCAGTCCAATCCCCCTGCCGGAGCAGGAACACCCAGATGAGGTTACACAGGAAGGTGTCCAGGCGGGTTTTGAATGTCTCCAGAGAAGGAGACTCCACAGCCTCTCTGGGCAGCCTGTTCCAGTGCTCTGTCACCCTCACTGAGAAGAAGTTTCTTCTCAAATTTAAGTGGAACCTCCTGTGTTCCAGCTTGTGCCCATTACCTCTTGTCTTATCATTGTTTGTCACCGAGAAGAGCCTGGCTCCATCCTCGTGACACTCACCCTTTATATATTTATAAACATTAATGAGGTCTCCCCTCAGTCTCCTCTTCTGCAAAGTAAAGAGACCCAGGAAACTAAAGTTTCCCAGGAAGAGGAAATTTTGAGCTGGTGGTAGCGCCCATTGGAGCTGCTGGCCACATGGCACTGGGTGTCCTCCCTGCCCTAAGCAGCTCGCTTGAGCTGGGTGGTCTTCAGAGCTGGGTCTTCAGAGGGGGGTCAGGGGGCTGGGGAAGCGCCATCTCACACCCCTCTTGTCTCCCTGTGGTGCTGCAGCTCCTGATCGCTCGCCGTAGGAGAACCAGCTGCTACTTCTACCCCCGCGCGTGGCCCAGCGTCAGGAGCGCGGACTGGTGGGAGCGGGTGGTCCTGAAGGAGTTTGGGCCTCAGGACTGGCTGGAGAAGTTTCGGATGTCCAAGGAGACCTTCTTCTACATCTGCAACCAGCTGCGGCCTGGGCTGGCTCCGCACAGCGCCCACTTCCACCCCACCCTGCCCGTGGAGAAGAGGGTGGCCGTGGCCCTGTGGCACTTGGCCACCAACGTGGAGTACCAGACTCTCAGCCCGCTCTTCGGCGTGGGGCCCTCTACAGTGCAGACCTGTGTCCGAGAGGTGAGCTACGCTGTCGTCTTGCTGCTGAAGCCCCTCTACCTCCGGCTGCCCAACGAGAAGGAGCTGGACAACATGGTGCGCATCTTCCGCACCCGCTGGGGCTTCCCGCACTGCATCGGCGCCCTGGACAGCCTTCACATCCCCATCCACCCGCCCCTGCGCCTCAGCGCCGACTACTGCAACGGCCAGGGCTGGCACTCCATCCTGACGCAGGCCACCGTGGATGGGCTGGGCCAGTTCTGGGACGTCTCCACCGCCTTCCCCGGCAGCATGGAGAACAGCGCAGTCCTGGAGAGCTCCAGCCTGTGGGTGCTGGCCAAAGAGGGCCGGCTGTGCCCCAACCCTCCCAAGCACTTCATGGGGAAGGCGCAGAAGTACGTGCTGCTGGGCGATGCTACCTACCCCTTGCAAGACTGGATCCTCAAGCCCTACCAGGAGGAGGAGAACCTCACCCAGCGGCAGCTGCAGTTCAACTACCGCCTGAAGCGGGCGCACAGCGTGATCGAGAACGCCTTCCTGCGCCTCAAGGCGCGCTGGCAGATCCTCCTGAAGTGCGACGACTGCAGCCTGGAGCTGTTGCCCCCCCTCGTCCTCGCCTGCTGCATTCTCCACAATGTCTGCGAAGCCCACGACAACCCCTTCAACGAGGAGTGGCTGGAGGGCACTGAGCCCACCGAGCTGCCCAAACCCTGCCAGCCCGCACC